TTCATCCCATCCCCCTCCCCCCCATAGTTTCCCAGTACCGTCAGTCATTTTCTTATAGTATTACATTGGATGTTCAAGGTCCATTATATGAGTGAGAACATGTGATATTCTGATCTTTGTTTCTATGAGCGGTCACTCAGTATTATAGACTCTAGTTCCATCCAGGTTGCTGCGAAATTCATGATTTTGTTCTTTTTTATGGCTGCGTAGTATTCCATCATGTATATGTACCACATTTTTTTAATCCAGTCCTCTTTTGATGGGCAGCATGGTTATTTCCAGGTTCTTGCTATTGTGAACAACGCTGCGATAAACATACGTGTGCAGGTATCTTTTTTATAGAGTGATTTGTGTTCTTCAGGGTATATTCCCAGTAGGGGGATTGCAGGGTTTATAAAGGCATGGAAAGACCATATGTATTTGCATCTTCCCGCAACACCAAACACAAGCATTCAACTTACCATAGGCTAATTCATTACAAACTCAAACACTATATCTTCAATCTTTTTGTATCTCACTTTGCTCTTTCTCATACGCAGTCCTTCCATTACTCTTCTGTTTATAGGTATTATATATTTCTGCCTGTGAAATTGGAGACAAGGTTCAATTTGATAACAGATACAAAATATATAACATGTCAAACATGATATTTTTTCTTGTCATTTTTCTTTGTATTTTTATAATACCCATTTTAATGGGTGTTAAGTATTATCTCATTGTGGATTTGACTTGCATTTTCCTTATGACCAGTGATGAAGAGCATCTTTTCATGAACTTATAGGCCATTTGTATATCTTCTCTGAAGAAACGGCTACTCAAGTCCTTTGCCCATTTCTGAGTGGGTTCTCTACCACTGATTTGGGGCCCAGTTTCCTTCGCCTTCTTGAGGTCAATGTCCCCCAGTAAAAGGGGAAAAGACATAAGATGGGAACGCATCCACTATTTGAGACAGTAGTCTAGAAAGGCACACACCCTACTCCAGGTGGGCTGGGACTCAGTCGTCGTGGCTGCCCTTCAGTGCAAAGAGAATGGGAAATAGGGTCCAGGCCTGAGGAGAAACCCGTTTGGGGGGATCGATGACAGTCTCCCCAGACTACCCAGAGCACATACGCAACTCACTCATCTCATTCATTAAAGCTTCAGACTGGTTCCTCCAGTTCAGGATAAATATTTGGAGCTTAAAGTTTGCACTTGAGCCAGAAAAGGGGGAAAGCAGCTGCACATTGAACATGGGCAGGAAACAGGGGCCGATCTCCCCCACAGCATGTTTAAAGTATGGAGCATCACTGAAGACTGTTGAGAATCAGCTAATTTGACAAATCCTTTGCTTCCACTTAAAAACTTGGAGAGATGAGGGCTCAGGGCAGCCTTGCACAGCCAGGCAGCCTAACAGCAATCAAGGCAAGATCAGACACCCGGCCTGCTGAAAGCTTATTCAAAATTCTTGTCCTAAATATGAGAAAAGTATCAGGAAAGAATTTATTACATGTCTGTTTCATACAGGCGCATATCACATGCATAGTTTTGTTTAGCCTTATAAACAATCTTCTAACAGTCCAAGAGTGGTGGTTAATACCTGTAATCTTAGCACTTTGTGATACTGAGGCAGGAGGATTATTTGAGCCCAGGAGTTTGAGAACCAGCCTTGGCAACATAGCAAGACCTCATCTCTACAAGAAAAAAAAAATTTTTTAAAATAACTAAGCTAAACATTAGCCCAGTATGGTGGCACGCACCTATAGTCCCAGTTACTTAGGAAGCTGAGGTAGAAGGATCACTTGAGCCCAGGAGGTAAAGGCTACTGTAAGTCGTGTTCATGCCACTGCACTCTAGCCTGGGTGACAGAGTGAGATCCTGACTCAAAAAAAAAAGACCTAGCAATCATGTGAGTTGGGTATTATGATCATTTTGTAAATGAGGGAACTAAGGCTCACAAATTTGGATAGCATATTAGTCAGTTCAGGGTGCCATAGTGTAATATCCCAGACTGGGGAGGTTAAATATTAGACATGTATTTTCTCACAGTTCTGGAGGCTGGAAGTCCGAGATCAAGATGTGAGCAGAGCTGGTTTCTTGTGAGGCCTCTCTTCTTGTTTCGAAGATGGCTGCCTTCTCACTGTTTCCTCATATGGCCTTTCTTCTGTCTGTGTGTATCCCTGGTGTCTATTCCTCTTCTTATAAGCACATCAGTCCTATTATATTAAGTCCTATCCTTATGAACTCGTTTAACCTTTAATTGTCTCCTTAAAGGTCCTATCTCCTAAGACAATCTCATTGAGGGTTGGTGCGTCAATATCTGGACTTTAGGAGGGACACAGTTCTGTCCATAACAGATAATATATTTAAGGACTCACAGTTGCTAAGTGGTACAACCAAGACTGTCTAAACCCAAAGATTATTTATTTATTCAGAGCTCACTGCCTCACCCATGCCTCATATCATCTCAGATAGAGTGGGGATACATCCCTCTGTAAGAGTTAACACATTGTGCCCCACATCTTTAAAATAATTTTTTAAAAGAGTTAACACAGTAGAACTTGCTGGCAGAGAGACATTTTTGCTGCAGTAAGTTCCGTCCTGGCGGGTAGGGTGATGAAGAACTTATACAAACTAGATCAGGTATGTCTAATCTTTTGGCTTACTGGGCCACATTGAGGAAAGAGGAATTGTCTTGGACCACACATAAACTTTAGAATATAGTTAGTGTATACCTAATAAGAGTTATTTTTTGTATTTTTTATTACAAAATTCAGAAAAGTGAGAACAATATAAAACTAATGGAAAATTTGATCTTATTTTTGCAAAACTAGTCTAGAAATGTCTGGTTTGAAAGAAGTGGTCACAATTCTTTGTGAGTTCTCAAGGTGCTCATCAGAAATGTTTGTTCAAATTTTGCTCTTCATGCGCTTCATAACTGAAAACAGCTGCACACAAATGTATGTGCTGCCAAAAAGAGATGTCATGAATGAGTCGTGATTGTGAACTTCAAAAATGGAACTATGTACAGAGTCACAAAGAAAACAAATGATAAAAGAAACTCATGATGTAGCAGGGCTCGGTGGCCCAGCCTGTAATCCCGCGCTTTGGGAGGCTGAGGTGAGTGGATTGCCTGAGCCTGAGGGTTCGAGACCCGCCTGGGCAGCTTGGCGAGACCTCATCTCTACAATAAATCAAAAAATTAGCTGGGCATGGTAGCGCGCGCCTGTAGTT